TAATTTTCATTTAAAGCTTTTCATTTTTGTTAATTTAGAATGCACGATTACGCGTCTTTACCATTTCCACATCACCAACATTGATGGAACAGGAACAAAGAAGTATGGCAGCGTTGTTGACAAAATTCCGGATCGATTTTTCTGATGTTTTCGTAATACCGGATATTGGCAGGAAGCCTAATGCGCAAACGTGAGTTATGCTATCTAATTTTTCCACTTTTTTTTCATTTTTTTTTAACTATGATTTTTGAAAATAATTATGCAATAATTTAAGCATTTTATCGTTTCATTTTTCTTCGATTAGCAATCGTTTTAATTTAATTGCATGCATTCATTTAAATTTTGAATTTAATTCTTACAGGATACTGTTCAGTAATTTTTCATGATATTGACTTTCTTTTTTTAATTTTTTCAAAAATCACAAGCATTCTAATTTTTTAAAATAATCAGACGATAAATTGTAGCATTGAAACATTCTCCGAGCTTATCAAACCGTTTATTTGTGATGATGATAATGTTCGACCGGGTATGATCACACGATCAGAATTAGAGGCTCAAAAAAATAGGACCAATCGACATCTGAGATGTTCCGAATTACTCCACGAATTGTCTTCTCAATCTGACTTCATCGTTTTGTAAGATTTTACAATCTGAAATAGATGTTTTTTGATCTTCAAAATTTCAAATAATTAATTTTCTTCATTAAACTATGATAAGCCTTTAGAAAATCAATTAATAATCGTTTTTTTTTTGTTCATATTCAAAAATTTTTTGAAGTTTTTTTTAAAAAAAATAAAGTTTTTATATATTTCAAATTTCAAATCAACAAAATAATAAATGAACTTACACCTTTCAGAACATTACCGGTACCACGATTTGGTTTTGTGAGCAGTAGTTTATACATGGCCTGGCTGGATATGATGACACGAGATCTGCCACCAACACTGATGATACGTGGCAATCAAACATCTGTCCTCACATTTTACTCATAGCTTACTGAGACATCTCAGCATCCATATCTTCATATGTAGTAAACTTCTATAGATTTATCCTATTACCATTCTTAATTTTAATTTAATGAAATTCCTTTTCTTTGTATGTCATAATGTTTGAAATTTTTAATCGGTTGAAATTTTCAAAATAATTAAGATCTGATAATATCAATTCTTGTAAATAGCAATCCTCCTTTCTAATTTTAAATTAAAAAAATTTT